TGCCCTCTGATTTCTTAAAAATAAAACTGATGTAAAAAAATGAAAACTCATGTATTTTGAATCATTGAAATTCCATGCATAAAAATTATATAAATCATTTCTCTCACATGCGTTTCTAAGTGCTAATTGTGACGTCATAAACTTGTGCATTTCCCGTATTTTCTTAAAATGTTGCAGAAGACACCAATTTTCAATGAAATTTTCTTTCAGAAAATATTATCCACAGGCATCACCCAAAAAGATTTTGAGATATGTAATTTTTCATTGTATATTGCACAACATATCAAAAAATTAAAGTAGGCGATGGCTGTGGACATTGTTTTCTAAAGGAAAATTCCCCTTGAAATGGGTCATTTTTGAGGCTTTTTCTGTCTGAAATAGAGAAATACATCAAAATAATGATGTCATATTTCCAGAAAATTACTCCCTCATGCCATATTCTTTTCTGATCTTTCAAAGTCATAAACTCAACTAATATTTAGGCCAGTTTCAGAACATTTTGAAAACATTAAATTTTTAGTGCACAATAAAGCTAAAACCATACCTTCTTCTTTTATTCATAGGAAGTGATTTTTTTCTTTAGTCAGGCAAATTGAAAAAAGAAATTAAGAAAAAAGTACAAAAAGAGTTATGATATATTAAGATATTGGGTTTGTTTCAGATTCTGAAGGAATAGTTCCATTATCACTTATAAATTTATTTGATTGCTGACATAAAATTAAATAGTCATGTATAGCAGCTGCTTCTTCATTAAACATAATTATACTTACCACACTTTTATTTTGGCCGGAAGCATTTCGTTCATTCAATTAGCAAAATACAGACAAAGATCATGGGACTTTGGGGGAAACAATCAATTACAATTGTACCTGCATCTTCCGTTTTAGTGCCCATTAGCTCACAAAATTAGCGTCTTTTTTAGGAAAAATAATCATCCCAATATTCAGACAGAGAAATTCTAGAAGATGTTAAAATAAAAATAGAAAATTTATTTATTTCTGTGCAACTTATTACATGTTCCTTATCTAAGTTTGAGGGACCAAGAAAATAATTAAGTCATAAACATGAACAACACTAATTATAGGTAGATATTAATCTTCTTTTGAATAAAGTACATCTTAACCAATGATCTTTAAAGATCTAGTTGTATATTGTCAGTTTTGTTTGTAACAATAGCGATAACTACAATAACAGAATGCTTTTACATGACAAAAATGATTGTTTTTTTTTTTACATTTTATGAACATTAAAACACATGGGCTTAATAAAGAATAATGTTCTTATGATTGCCAGGGCATATGAACACAGAAATCGAGCATTGATGAAGATTATACGGGTTTAAAATGTTTCTTAATATGAAGAAAATCATGTAATGCCTTCCATATGCTATGAATGAATTTTTTTGAACAGATACAAAACTAAGAATGAATGTACAAACCTGGAATTGGATCTACGAAAACAGCATGATGGTAAATAAATCAAAAAATACCTATTTATCAAACACTTATAGTAAAAAAAAAAAAACAAGGTGGTGATCAACAATTAGCCAAAAACATCTTATGACACTTATATTTAATTATTTAAGGAATGAAGCTTATTTCAACTTATGTTATCCGATATAACATAACTTGGGACAGTTTACGCTTTATAATCCGCGAAGCGGTTTATACATAAGCGTAAACTGCCCCAAGTTTTGTTATATCGGATAACATAAGTTGAAATAAGCTTCATTTCTTATAATTAAATTTCAGCGAAGACAATGAGACAATATTTTCTCCGGAAAAAGGCTTCAAATTGAGCATTATTTTAAAAGTAACGTCAGGCGGAGTGATACGTTTTTGACGTAACTCATTGTGACGTAGGCAAGTTATGTTATACGAAATGGATTAAATCTTTTACCCAATCAAATGACGTGTTACAACTGAAATTAAATTATTAAACTATCAATGCGACCATTGAACCACTACCTCGCTGGTGAATGTTTATCTTTTACAATTTACAGTGTGCACAGACACTTGCAGCTCAAAAATTTAACATTTATATTGACCACGTGATCGCTCTGTAGTTAAAGCTAAATAACGCTCTGAAATTAATTCATTTCATTAAGGACATTTAGTAAAGACTAATACATAATAAAGATATGTTTTCAATTAATTGATAAAATGATGTAGTATATAGTATAATATAGTATATAGAGATAACGAGCATTATTTAAGCTTAAAATCCAGTTAAACTTTATAAATCCAGACCAGAGCAAACAAGGACCTTCAAAAATGAGCGGAGAGAGTATGTGACATGGAGTAGGCCTTTCAACTAATTTTTCAAGCTGTACATATGGTAAAAATCGTTTTAAAGATTTATTTAAAACGTAATGACTTTCAATTTTCTATCTTCAGCTTCCCTTACATATGCAGCAATATACCTTGACCCCCTGCATACGGAATTTATATATCTCAGGTGATTCAATACGCAAGAGCATGCTCTACGTACATTGTATAAACAATTCTCAAACGAGGTAAATTATAGACAAACAAGTTGATATAACAAGAATTTCAGCAGTCTCGTTTAAAGACGTCATTTCGTAAGTGCTATGGTCGATACAATGACCTTGCCAGCAAATACAAGTTATCATTCAGTCAAATGCTGACTGACGTTTTTCTTGTAAATTGTTAATCAATTCTTTAAACATTGAATTGAGGACTGATTTTTCCATTATTTACCGATCATGACAAGGAGCACACGATGGGTCTGACCGGTCAGCAGGTTATGCTCACTCCTTCATGGCACTTGATCCCACATCTGATGTGTCAGATGTCCGTGTTTGCTCTGCTCCTATTTTGTATCGTTTTATGGACTTTTGATCTTGAATACTGTTCGTTATCTCCATATTTCTCATCTGTGCAAGGAACACTATTGTTTAACCTTCAAAACAGCATTATCTAGCCGTTTTGTATTACTTTTGTATTGATGCTCCAAAGAATAGAAATTAAATGCTTATTGTTTTTAAATAGAAGACGGAAATTATCAATCAAAACTGTAGTTTACATAATCTCAGTTAAAGGGAGATATTGAACTTACTGGAATAGCGCTCCAATGAACGAATTTGTCACTGACTTTGTACTTTATAATTCAAAATGTTAATAAATATAAGAATGGTCAGCTTCTTTGTTATTAGCATTGTGGTAATGCCTTAAAACATCTACAGATAGTAAGACATTCAAAATGATTTTAAAGCCATCCATGATAAAATATATAATGGAATTATAATAATTAGATATGTGGAGACATATAATAGAGTTAAAAAAAATTAATTACAACCTTAATACCATTCCAAATTCTTTTTAGTGGAGATTTCAGTATGTCTTTACCGTTATTGACAGTCTATGCAAACCATTTTGGAATACTGACCCCGATTTTTTTTAAAGCTACGTATACATACAGTATCTTTAAACCTCAGTTTGTGTGGTAAATGAATAACATACAGATTTAATGTATAATGTCATGAACTCTTAATCATGTACTTAATTTATACTAATCATTAAAACTATCCTCTCAAAAGTCATAGGACATTAAAGTATGTTTCTAGTGGCAATATGTAGATGATGTTTAGTGATACCATGTGACAACACACCATGCTCTGGGAAAAGAGTACCGATTAATTTCCCATAGAACTCTATACAAACCTTATGCCCTCCCAGTAATTTACTAATTCCCTTTAACACAAATCTCTGATATCATTTGAAAGTTCGTTCTAAGCACTTATCAAAAACACGGAAAAAAATATACCGTGCCGCGGCTTTTATAGGTCAAATTTGCAATTATTTAGAACTTTATTTCAAACATTAATTTTTTTTACTTTAAAATGAAAATATTTACATACTTGAATTCAGCCAATCAGCTAAAGCCTACCCATTTAGTACTCTGCTTCATCTTGTTCAACCAGGAATTGATGTAAAAATCTGGGTCTTTGGTACTCTTTTTCCCTCTGGGTTCTGCCATATGTATTACTTCCGTTGTATATCATATACATTAGAACCAATCATGAACAATAACATAATTCCGGATAACGATTGCATAGAACATTACACATGAGTTAATTTAAACTGCTCCGGGTATATTTGGCATAGAAGGTCAAAGATCAAGAGGACTAGTGCACTATAACGTTAAACAATTACAAATAGTGCTTATGTTAAGTAGCATACATATGCCTGTTAAATACCAAAAACGCTCTGTGTATCATCAATATAAGCTAGTTCCAGCATATGTGGTTTGCCACTGTGGTATTTTACAATAGCCATAATACCTATATAGTAACAATATATTAGCAAGGTATCAATCTATGCCTTTTTCCGTTCTCGAGATATAAGATATATATATATGAAAGTCGAACAGACAGAAATCTAGACATACGCCAGGTAAAGTTATTTGATCCAAAGTTGATAAGTGTTACACAAATGTCCGTTTCTTATAACATACCAACAAAAGTCCATTTATGTGCTATTGTAAACAATCTCTTTGTCACTTTTGATGTTTGATGGTAAGTGGTGAGAAAAAAAAATATATCATGTCATTAAAGGATACGATGTCACACATTAAGGATTGTATATAATTCGGTTTTTTTTCTAAATGCATTTGATTGAGGATATATCTCTTATAGGTAACAGTTTGTATTAACATTTTAAAAAGCAAGTAACCCAATATAATCAACAGGTGGATAACATTCTACCTGTTTTTAAACTTTGGTTTTCGTCTTGAATTGTCATATGAGGGAATCGATGTTTCACACAAATATTTTTTTTAATGATTGATAATAGAAATACTTATTCTCACATGAATATAAACGCTTTACTTTTTTTCAAATTTCAAAAATAAAAAAAAAAATCTTTGATCCTTTTTTTTTTCATATTTCAATTAAAAATAGTAAAAAGAAGGTCAATCAAAACAACATATATGTGAATGCCTAACTTAATCTGTTTTTTTTAATTTTCAGATGGGATTCCGATCGAGGGATATCTCTCTATTTTCATTAACAACGTGAGTTGGATAATTGAAGAGGAAATGGCCAGTTTTTCTTCATTAATTGACAACGAAGAGACGATTAATGCATACAATTTATCCAAGTCCTTGGATAATAGCACAGAATTAAATTCAACGTTCTTTTCAGAAGATACATCAAGTCAATCTTTTTACGACTTTGTTCATGCACTTTATCTTTCTGCGATACCACTTATTTCTACTTTCGGAATCATTGGAAATGTCTTATCAATCAAAGTTTTTCTCTGCTCTACGTTCAAACGACAGCCATCAAGCATTTATTTAGCCGCTCTTTCGGTCTCAGATACATGGTTTTTGGTGGCCTTATTAATGGGATGGCTAGGTAGTTTTGATGGAACAATTCAAGAGTCCGGAGTAACATGCATGATTTCTATATACGTAACGTACGTCACGGGGTTTCTTTCAGTATGGTATGTAGTTCTTATCGTAATTGACCGATACATTGTGGTCTGTCACCCTCTAAGAGGACCTCGCTTGTGTTCCAGAAAAAGAGTTGCCACGGCATCGGTCCTTATTACAATGTTTGCAATTATATTTTATACTCACTGTTTTCGTACAACGATGATCGTAAAGAAGCCATCAGGAAAGGGCGTCCAATGTGTTGTTCAAAAAGACAGTATGTACGCACTAACAATTATCACTTACATTGACTCAATTCTTACCATAGGAGTACCTTTCCTTGCCATTTTTATTCTTAACTGCAGTCTCATATCGGCTGTACGAAAATTTAACAACAAGCATGTCAGATTCAGTGAAAGAAAGCTATATTCGTATTCTCCTCAATACAGCATCCTGACCAAGGCTCAGATACGGCTGACAGTGATGCTAGTAGTGGTTTCCTCTGTGTTTCTGATTCTGAATTTGCCAAGCCATGCTATTAGACTGTACATCATGATAAAGGGTCTGGTAATGAAGCGCCAAAATAGCATTACATTGATCCTCATTCAACAGATCTTTCAGATACTTTATTACGCAAACTTTGCGATCAATTTCATTTTGTATATGGTGTCTAGTAAACAGTTTCGTAAATGTCTCAAGGAAAGTCCAAAATGCCGAGTTTTACGAAGGTTGAGATTAGAAAAGACATTATTAGATAGGCGAAAAGAGTATGGATAGGATTAAAATATCAACTGCGATTATATTCATCATTTTAACCCGAATATTGGTCAGATTTGATTCAACATTTAACATGTTGAAGGACACTTGTATGGAATTCACCTAATGATGCTAAATTGAAGCACATTTTTTACATACAATTGCAATATTTTCAAGATAAAATTAAATTAGTTATATTAAATGGATATATTCTAACAACGAGCTTATTCTCAAAATCATTCTCAAACATTTTACAATAAAGATATTGAATAAAACACACCTTCAAATTATGAGGGAAAAAGCTCATCAGTTCAACTGGGCAATTCAGTTTATCTTTTAACATTATTTTTAGATTGTGCAAAAGAAACAACGAATGCATTTAAAACGTATTGGTAGGCTTAATGAATGTAAGATTTATTTTATTTGCAAAACATGAACGCGAATGGGGGAACAGCTTATTCCTCAATTTTTCCCAATAAAGCGCTCTTTTCGTAGTTGATTTTCATCACATAAAGTCAAATAAAAATGATTTTGAGACTACCAAATTAAGATTGTTTGACATTTCGCATTCACAACGAACAAGTTTCAATTCCCCTTTGAAAAAAGTTATATTTTTGCTGCAACCTTTTCCTTATTGTTTTTAACACAAATTGTTATCGTTTGCACAATTATTGTACTATTTTGTAATAAATTCGTCTGTAAAAGCAAGGGTTTTACCTCCTTCGTGTTTATTTCATGTAATAAACAAATTATGCTTTTGGATTCAATTATCGTAGAAAGATAATTGAATAGGCAGTTTCTTCGAAACAATTGAAAGACAAGGAAATTAAAATGATTGGATTTTGTTTGAAAAGATCAAAGTAACTAGAGAGGTTTAATAAAGAAATTAATTTCTGATTAAAAGTTAAATCAATAGTAAGGAGTGTGACATACAGTTAGCTAGATGTAACGGGGAAGAATCCTTAAGCTGTCAACATCGATTTATAATGGGTTCAAAATTATGTTAAAACTTAACACTGTTTTAGACAAACGCACTATTTATTTATTTTTTTGTTATAATTAAATGAAAGAGTTACGGAGTTAAAGAATTTGAATGAAAAAAATATGTCACCTTTCAAGTTTTTTTTAAACATTTCGTTCGTAAATTCTTCAATAATTACAGATATATTGACCTTTTTACCAAATATATATATATATATATACCTATCATTTGCTCGTACTTTGGCTGACCTGGTTTCATGAGTTCTAATGTATTTGTTTTTCTATACAAGATTTGATTACTGGATTATTTCTACTTCATTACTTGATCAATACATAGGGTTCACGGCTATCTTGACTGGTCTGTAGGATACAATGTACCTATTTTTCTCATGTACCTGATCTCACCACTGGAGTTTCCAGGGGGCCCTATTCATACGATGTTCACCGACTTGTATTGTTTTTAGATTTTTCTATATGTACAAGATGGAGGATCACTTTTCGATATCTTGATTTTTTTTTCGTCCTGATCTCACTTCTGGCTCACCTGGGCTGAAAACTCAGGTGAGCTTTTCCGATCACCCAATGTCCCTCGTCCGTCCGTCTGTCTGAAAACTCACAATTTCAACTTCTTCGAATTCTCAAGGACCATTGGGCCAATTTTGACCAAACTTAGTAGAAAGCATTCTTGGGTGATGATGAGTTTTTATTGTTAAAATGAAGGGCCATATGTCTCCTTGCAAAGGGAGGTAATCAAGAAAATACAACAATTGGGTTGGGTCATTAAAATATTTTCTTCTCAAGAACCACTGGGCCACAAAACCTTAAACTTATGTGGAAGCATCCTGGGGTAGTGTAGATTCTAAATCATCAAATCAAGTCCCCCGATTGTAGGATGGGGCCAAAATAGTGAATCAAAATTTTACATTGAAATATATAGTTTTACATTGAAAAATCTATTAAAAATCTTCTCAATAACCACTGGACCATTAAAGCTGAAACGTATGTGGAAGCATCCTGGGGAAGTGTAGATTCTAAATTGTTAAAATCTTGACCCCCTGGGGAAGGGAGGGCCACGAAAGCAAATCCAAGTTTTCCATTGATATATATAGGAAAAATCTTTACCACTGGACCACAAAAGCTGAAACTTATGTGGAAGCATTTCGGAGTAGTGTAGATTCTAAATTATTAAAATCGTGACCCCCGGGAGAAGGGCGGGACACAATATTGAATCCAAGTTTTACAAAGAAATATATAGGAAAAATCTTTAAAATCTTCTCAAGAACCACAGGGCTACAAAAGCTGAAACGTATACGGAATCCAAGTTTTACAAAGAAATATATATAATAGGAAAAATCTTTAAAATCTTCTCCTCAAGAACCACAGGGCTACAAAAGCTGAAACGTATATGGAGGCATCTTGGGGTAGTGTATATTCTAAACTGTTAAATCATGACCTGTGGAGGTAGGGCGGGCCAAAATAGGGAATCTAAGTTTTACATAGATATATATAAGAAAAGTCTTCTTCTCAAGAACCAATGGGCCAAGAAAACTGATACTTATATGAAAGCATCATGGGGTAGTGCAGATTCTAAATTGTTCAAATCATTACACGGAAGTTTACACTGATTTTTTTTTCTTTGAAAGCCATGGAGATACGATCCACATCCTGTTCCTGAGAACTTTTAACTAACATTAATTCAATCTTCTCTAAATTCTTATGAATACAACGCTCATGAAAAAAATCATAATTTTAAGGGGCCACAATAGGTATTAGTTCAAAGTTAAAGGGTCTAAACAAAAGGTCATCCAAGAAAAGCGACATCACCAAAGTTAATCAGTTGAGTGATGTGATCCATCGGCCTCTTTTTTATTTTAACAAAGATATTTTATAAGATTATTCACTTTTACTTAGCCCGTTGAGGCCAGTTCAGAGAAAGAAATATTTTTTATTGCGTTTAATTGCAATAATTATTACGTTTAAACGCAAAACATTGCGTTTAATCGCAATAATTTTTGCGTTTTATCGCAATAATATTGCGATTAAACGCAATAATTTTTTGAATTATTAAACGCAGAATTATTTACTTATGAAATTTGTAATTTTCTGAAAGTGTATACATTTATGAGTATGAAAAAAATAATCTTTGTATTTAAAAGCAATCATTGATCTTTGAAGAGTGCAATGGACCCACTCTTATATTTTTTTCTTTCTTTTTTGTACAGTAACCTATGAGGAGAATTGTGTATTTTAAGCTTTATGGAATCAGATTCTTCTGAACAAGCATTTTCTGAATGGTTCAATCATTGGTATGGATTTAAAGAGGAGAAAGAAGTGTCGGTCTGTATAAACAAAGACAACCTAAGAAAGAAACAAAGCTTCAGCATGTATAGATATCTATATTCCTGTTTAATTTTTGTCAGTTGCTTACAAACACAAATGACATTTCCTATAATGTTTTCTCTTATTTTAAACTTTAAAAATATGCAAACATATTTAAAGGATTTTATGAAATAAAAGACCGGAAAAGAAATAATGATTGAGAAACTATCACTCAACGTTGCGGTCACAAAGTTTAAACCCTGTACCTGTATAGAGGGTTTAAGGAAACAACTGATGAAATGTTTAGACTTATGTATATATGTACATTTACATTCACAACCTTTCCTTTGATCACATACATTAAACACGAGAACACGAGAATTTAGGGGATTGAATCATATGAAATCAAAAATAAATCAAATGAAAACAGATTGACCGATGTGATCTACCAAATTAATATGTCTATTGATACCACTGAAACATTCTTAATTAACTCTGATACCGAAGGAATTGATAGATGGCTGCGTTAAAAGTGTTGGGATCTAATAGCTTTGAGAAACTCTTGTTGTTAGGATGCCATTGTTAAACGTCAAATCTTACAAACTGCAACATTTTCAAAAAGACACAGAACCAAACGGCTTCTTTAAATCGGAAGATAGTATTTATTATAATCTTTGCATTTAAATACAACAAATTATTGCGATTAAACGCAAAAAATTATTGCAATTAAGCGCAAAAAAATCATTTCGATTAAAAGAAATATTATTGCGATTAAACGCAAAACTTATTGCGTTTAATTGAAAAAGTATTGCGTTTAAACGCAAAAATTATTGCGATTAAACGCAAAAATATAATTGCGTTTAATCGCAAAGTTATTGCGTTTAAACGCAATGATTATTGCGATTAATCGCAATGTTTTGCGTTTAAACGCAATAATTATTGCGATTAAACGCAATAAAAATATTTCTTGGTCTGAACTGGCCTCAACGGGCTTCCGTATTTACTAAATATAAACCTTATTTAAAAATTCGTTTGCCCAAAACAAATAATAATGGACGGCTCGGTGTTCGTGTATTTCGTGTGACATCAATATCCATGAACTTATATCCCCACGACCACTAATTTAACAAGGAATTTTACTCATTGATTCTTACTTTTCATCGAAAGAAAAAATATGTAGGAGCAAAACTACGCCATATATTTTATGTACCGAAGTTCAGAGATTTTAAAATAACTACGTTTTTTTCTCAATATATTAAACATCATGACGACGTTGGAGGTTGCAAATTTTGGTATTCGAATTCGCCGTTTCAGAGAGGAAATTTTATAAAGTATAATATATTTCAAAAAAGCAATGATGAATCTTTTTCTGAAGAAAATATCAGCGTGGCTATGCAGAGGAAAGATTTTTGTCAAAATTTTTAGCAATATTAATCACAAGTAAAGGACCAAGTTTTATATGTGTTTTATACATGAAGGTCTCAAAAAACTGTCAACAAAGAATAATTTGATCATTGACCCCATATATTACATGAGAAAGGGTAACAAAAGTTGGACTATAAATAATTTAAAGTTCCAACAGATTTTTCCTTACTTCCAAAATCTAATGCAATTGCTCTTTTAATATTTTGTGAGTGAAGAAAAAATGGTCATAGTGTGAAAAATACTATTGACCTAGTTATTTGAAATTGAAATTTAACACATGTGAGCTACATGACATGATCAGTCTTATAAAGCATATATAAGAATTTACAAATGACTTTGAAAAAGGCCTTAGTACCAACTCCTTACTTCCAAAATCTAATGCAATTGCTCATACCATCGTACCATGTGAGCTACATGACATGATCAGTCTTATAAAGCATATGTAAGTACATGTGTTATCATTTTAGATGAACCAAATTTTTAAAATAAATTTTCAATGATGATTTCTTTTCACGTAACATTCTCACATGTAACTTCACATAGGAATGTAGCATTATCCTAATTATGTGATTGTTCGTCGCATTGCGTTATAATTCGTATTTGGAAACATCCTTAACCCACGTCTTCCATGCTGCACTTTATGAAGCTTCAAACTCGATCTACACATGATACTTTGGTTACTGAAACTATACGATTCTACTCAAATGAAACGACTCCATAATGGATTAAATATCGGGAACAATATGTTTAGGCGCAAAAGTACCACATGATTAAATTATATAAAAGCATGATTTCAGACCTGCAGTGACAAAATCAAAACCTTTCATTTTTTTCATGAATTTTAACACGAACATTAACTTTTTGACGTTTGTATTCCATCCCTGAAAGATTTTT